TTCCTCCAATATTTAGACGTATTTCGCAAAATGTATGTTGCCAACGCACTCCACTAAGCTCGATCTCCCACCAACCCAAACAGCTTCTCAAACCATCACGCTGAAATCACCGTGCTTCACAGTTGGCTGCAATATGTTGAGCCAAAACTCTTGGTGAGGCATTCTCCAGACCCATATCCTTCCACTGTCTGAAAATTGAGCGAATCTTGATTCGTCTGAGAACAATACAGTCTTCCAAAAGTCCAGAGGCTTGGTCATCATATCACTTGTCCACTTCTTTCGTCTGACTATGTTGGCAGGTCTTAATAAGGGCTTCCATCTAGCTGCTCTGCAACGATAACCCAATCTGTGGAGAATCCGTTGAACAGATTTTGGGCTCATCCCACCAACTTTGGCCACTTCTGCAGTCGTGAATCTGGGATCCATTTCGATGCTCCTCTTGACAGCCCTTTTTGTCCTCTCCGATGGACCAGGACGACCCGGATGCTGCTCAGTTGTTTCCTTACCGTGTTTTTTGAAGTGCACGATGATTCTGTTGACTGTCGAAAGCGGGATTCCCAAATTCTGAGAAATTTGCCGCTGATTTATTCCACCATTCTGCTTGACCAACTATCCTTCCTCTAACAAAATCTGACAATTCAAGAGAACCTTGAGTTCTAGGCTTGTTGTAGCACAAGATAATTAGTGTGCGGACCCTTTTCATTCATACAGTGCTCTGTGAACACAAATTAGTTAGCATAAATCAGTTAAATGACGAAAAATTAGGTGTCTATTTACTTGTGACCACTCAGTGTACATGTATAATATAAACTAATATAGAATATAATTAATGTCTATAAAAGCAGTATGATCAGTATGCTTTTCATTTTTCAAGTATATGCATAGTTTTGTTCAACTTGTTCTTATCTCTGACAAAATTCATGTGTACATAGAATAATGTAGTCAATTACTGTACCTTTCACCCCCAAAAAAAAGTTTTGTTTCAAAAAGATTTAATTATTTGATATAAAATTTCCCCCATTTTTAAATAAAAGAATAGATAGATTGTTTTAAAAAGAGTAGGGGTCATCCATATAATAAACTGAAAAACTCAATAACAGGATTGAGGAAAAACAAAGACGATTGTGTGTTTCACAAATATTTAATTTATTAATGACCATGGTTTTGCCAGTAAAGGCATCATGGGTAGTAAACTTTGTTCAGTACTAATATCTACATTGTTTTTCAAATCTTAATAGTTAATTTGTTGTATGTACTTGTTTAAAAAAGAATAATAAGCATATGTATAATAAACTGAATAACTCAATTGTCATTTCTGGTAGTAAACTTTGTTCAGTACTAATATCTAGATTATTTTTGAAATCTTAATATTTAACTTTCTCAAAAAAAGTGAGTATTGTTAGTAGTTTTAAATATTGTATTAAAATTAGTTAATTGCTGAAACTTGTCATCTGATATATATAAAATAAGATCAAGACACAAAGGGTATTTGCCTGGCATGGCCTGGTTGTTAGATCACTCAACTGACAATCAGAAAGTCACAGGTTCGAATCCTGTCCCCAAACATGCTTGCCCTTTTGGCTCTGAGGATGTTATAATGTGATGGTCATTGGTAAAGAGTAGCCTAAGAGATGATGGTGAAGGGTATTAACTAGATGCCTTCCATCTAGTTTATTGTTTCAAAGTTGGGTAAGGCTAGTGCAGATAGCCCTCGAGTAGCTTTTTTTTGAATTTCATAAACAAAGGGTGTTCATATACCTCGTGTTCTTATTTTTATCCCATTTAAAAATTAAAAGTATACTACTATTTTTCTTTTATATTTTTATTACTAGGTGCACATGTTTTTACTATTTTATGTTTTATCTTTTGTTGCAAAAATGTCTTTGTTGTCACTCGGGTTAAATGTACTGTATGTTTTTTAATGCAATACGTGAGGAGAGTACAAGGTATTTTCAAGCAAATTACTATACAAATTGACTAAAGGACAGTAGAGTTTGTATTTTCGATATTTTGCTTATGAGGTTTTGTAAGTAAGCATTTTAAATTTTGGTTGAGCTGAAGCATGGAACATAACAGAAAAAGAACATTAAACTATAGGCCTAATATTTGTGATAAGAAACATGTTAAATTGTAGATGTTTTTCCCACTTTCTTTTGATTAATCTGTAATATACTTCAAATAAGAAGTGTATTACATTTCAGGTCTATCTTTTGTCTGGCTCAAGTCACTGTTCAAGAGAGCTTTCAATCAAAACCATAATTACAGCCATAAATCACATTTATATGCAGTATGCATAAGCTAATATTATAGTTTCTTGTTTTTTAGACAGATTCTTAAACTCTTTACCAGAATATGTTCTAAAATGCATCATAATTTCCCTACCTTTCCCACTGATGAAATCTTATTTGCTAGATGTAATCAATGCATTTTCCTACTTATCTATTCCAACTGAGGAAGGTATTAATATCATAAATTAACTTGTGAAAGGGTAAACATGATACAGATTTAGCAGATTTACTTAGATATCAGAGTAACAGTTAATAAAGACCACTTACAGACTTTGCTGTATTGAAATTCTTGTGTTAGTCCTGTTATTATAAACTTTACATTGTATCATCCAAGTAATGATCAAGGAAGGAGGTTCTTTGTTTGATAAACTTATAGATTGAATATATAGTTCTGTTGATATTAAAATACGAATTCAAAATGAACACACATCAACATTGATTAGAGCTGGGTGACTGATATAATCAAGTATCTATGAATATCAATTACATCAGTTTGTATTACATAAAATAATCATGTAATTGAAATTATGAGTAAACTGACTAATGTCATGAAAATATTCAACTAATTGAACTGAGTGTGTCTGGTTATTGTTCTTTTTGATTATTCCAATTATCCAAGTAATCAAAATATTGCCATTATGATCTATCATAATTATTTTCAATCAATTAAAGGTTGTTCAGCTTAATTGATTAGTATCACCACTCACCAAAATAATAAACTTATCAAAATTAATGTTTTCAATTATTACTGTTTTCAGTTATTTCAACTATTCAAGTCTGATGTGAAAATAATTAGTTGAATGACCATAATTCATTAATGGGCTTGATGATTAGTCAGTTATCAGCTTACACTAATCACTCAGCTTTGATACTGATAAACTGGCAATGTATACAGAATTACTTGGCATCTAGGCAAAAATTTTAAATCCAAATTAATTTCATCTGCTTTTAAGCTAATTCAACTTGCAGCCGAAAATGCTTGTTTAACTTCACAACAGGGTTCTACTGTAGTGTAGTGAACAAGGTTCAGATTAGTGAACACAGGGTATTCTATAGAGAAGAGACATTTCAAAACCACCATAAGTATGAAAGCAGTGAAGTAAAGCAGCTCCTAATCCAGTGCAATTGCCAAACAATACACTAATGCTCATGGTTTACCCACAAAAACAAAAGTACTAAATATAGAATAGCAAAAAATTTGTTGAAACCTTCTTCATCAAGAAATAAAATCTTAACTGTTGCTAAGATACAGTTGGTTGATGTAGTAACTATTTCCTTCACCCTGATGTTTTGTTTGGTCTGTAAGTTATTTGCACAAACATAAAATAATATTGGCTCTTTGACATTATGCCACTGATGTTTTGTTACTTACTATTAAGTTTCTTTCAACTACTTTTCAAATTATTTTTTATAGTAGTTTGCCAGCTCAAACTGTTTCTCACTGTTGTTGCTTTAATGTTGTTGTTGTGGCACACATCTTAATTAACAAGAAGACCTCCTAGTTGCTCAGGGGTAAGCTTAAAGGCTTATACATTAAAAATCTAGTTTCAGCACCCATGGTTGGCACAGTGCAGATATCCCATTGTGTAGCATGGCATTTTAAAACACAAATTAGCAACATAAGCAGATAATATTACTTGATCTCATGGAATATGTTCATACATTTTCCTTTGGAGGTTTTTTTACTTGCATGAAAGCTTCCATGACTTACAAGCAATACACTGAAAATAAAAATATGTATGATCATTGAAATTTACCTCTCTTGAATTAATGTTACTTTTGTAAGACAGAAGCAACTGTCATATCTTTTCTGAATGTAGGACTGAAAGTAACAAAACAAAAACATTTGATTTGGTATCTAGTGCAAACAATTGGCACATTAATTCAGAATGTTGTTTTTATTGTATCTTACTATCTTAATGAATAAGTTTGTACAATAGCTTCTATTTTTAATGTATTGAGAAAACAGTTATTAGAACTTGTATTTTTTTTTACGAGAGTACTTACAGATAAAAGTTCTCAGTTTAGTTGCATATGTGGAATTATGAATGTTACTTGTATATATGGTGCTTCTTTGACTGAT